TCTGACATTGATGCCTCATACACAATCTCAATTGATCTTAGTGTCATGGGCATTAGCAGTGCTTATGCAATGGTCAAGCCATGAAGTTGTATGCCAGGCCTCGCTTATATATGAATAGCTATCTGTAGGCAGAAGTATTTGGCTTGATAATATAAGATTGTTATCATCACAAAACTGTAGCATATGCTTAGCAAACAAGGACCTTTTGTCTGATATGTCAGCATTCATATCACCCACTACATAAACACTGGTGGAATGATTATCAGCAATAAAAGAATGTATAAAAGCAAGTCTGTTCAGGTATTCATCTTCATTATGCTGTGACTCATATGGTGTATATACATTGAGAATGCTAAACTCCTTGTTATTCATTTTGATCTGTACAGCAATACACCAGTCAACTTCAAGCCTGATGACATTAATGACAGTGTCCAGCTTTTTGTGCCACAGGATAGCCACGCCCCCTGCTATCCTTCCTCTCACTATTCCCAGAGATAGGTCCGTAGTGGACTCACCAGCCCCGTGAAAATTGTCATTAAGAGAGTTCAACTTTCCCAAGTCCTGCTTTGGTAAGAAAGTTTCTTGCAAGCATAAAATGTCACATTTTTGTAGCAAGTTGTCCACCACTACACGTCGGATCCTATCAGCAGCGCTGTTGCCCAGGCGCAGCCCGCGACAGTTAAATGATTCAACCCGCATAACGTTTAGCTAAGCAGCTCAGCCGTAGCCCCATTCAGTACCCTCGCACCAGCAAAAGGTCTAGCTCTGCTAGCCCCTATCACCTTCGCTTTACGTGGTTCATAGTATCTTCTCACAACTGAGCCTTCAGGCCAGAGTTCTGGGTTAAACATCTCCGCAACTTCATTGCACTCAGCACACACTTTAAACGAGCTATATCTGCTGCTTGCAGTGTCAATACGATGACAGTTAACATCACGGCCGAGTTGTTCAGTTAGATATTCGGACAGTGTCTCAGCATCAAGGTCTGGCGAGAATTTGATAGCAAAAACACTCACCAACTTCGTACGGATCACTTTGATATTCCCTTGTGCAGCAGTGCCAACAATAGGCTTAGGCATCCTCCGTTCAGGTTTCCCAACAAGCTGTTTAGATAAGGCAGACTGGCCCTCGGCCCTATTCCTCCGACCTCGGCCCTGTTTCACAACTTGACTCCATACCTGCGAATTTACCGCAGTTCCTCCAGGGCTCACACAGGCACTCACGGTCCCTGACGCAGCGAGCGGGTCAACACAGTTGGGATGTACTACATCAGTAGAAGAGCCGGGGGGGGCTCGCATCCTTCACCAACACCGCACCATCCTGGCCATCACCCTGAGCGCTCCCACAGGTAGTTTCAGCGTCACTTGGTACAGCCAGGTAGTATTAGACATAATAATAATAATATTAATAACATAATAATAATATTAATTATTATTACTATGTTATTATTATTATTATTATTACACACACAACATTTTTCACAGAAACATGAATTGTCAGGACCATCCGGCAGTCAGCCAATCAGAGCTCCTTCTGTGTGAATATTCATGACTGGGTGCAATACCAAAAACCAGCTGTATGAGCGCTGTTCTGACACACAGAAAATACACAATTTCTGTTTTTTGTGGTTAAAAAGGTCTTTTTTGTTGTTGTTGGTTATTTAACCTTTCTACATCTATAGAAACACTTCTACGGTTTTAGAATTTGTATTTATTAGCAGGACACCGACCCTGTCCTGTTAATAAAAAATGTCTGGCTAATGTCGGTGTGTTCATACCAAAAGTCCTCTTAATTAACAAAGACACACACACACACACACACCACACACACACACACACACACACACCACACACACACACACACACACACACACACCACACACACACACAACCACACACAACACACACACACACACACACACACACACACACACACACACACACACACACACACACACACACACACATCACACACACCACAACACACACACACCCACACACACACACACACACACACACACACACACCACACACACACACACAACACACACACACACACACACACTATATATATATGTGTTTCCCCCCTTATGTGCCCATCCCCCCACATGTATCACACTTGGAACACGCAATACCTGTTCAGTGCCCGATTTTACCTTACGGCTGTGCCGCGGCAAAAATAGGATTCATCCTAATTTTAGAGAAGCGCTGCGCCGAGCCGCTTCTGGGACGCGTCTGAGCCGTAAATCGGCGCGTGTGGTGTAATAGCACCCATTGACTAGAGTGGCCGCGATCCTTACGACCGCCGCGGCGCGGCCGTAACGCGACGCAGACGCTCCTGGTGTGTTTTGGGGGTAAGGCCCTCAAAAATGGGTTCCCGGAGCAGAATAATAATAATTCCTTGGATAATAATAGGTTCCTCGCACTTCGTGCTAGGACGCCTTTGGGTCCCTTGGGCCCTAATGACTTAAAAGTCCAGTATGTAGGGTTTAGTGGCATCCAGTGGTGAGATTATAGTTCGCAACCAACTGAATACCCCTCTGTTCAGTGTTCACCCCTCCCATTCCAACTAAAGTATAACAGGCGCTCTCTAGAGCCCGACTGGATTGTCTGTTCTCATTTTGAGCTGAACCTTTCCTTTTGGCAGGATATTTTTCAAATTACAAAACTTTAGCTTTAATCCTTTTCATTTAGCGCCACCATCTGGTCAACATTTCAATCTGCAGATTGTTTTAGTAACGAATTACTAAAACTACTATTTAGTACTGAACTACTGCATTCAGATGAGCCTCAGCTGTAGGCTACTTTGTGTTTAGGCTGTTAGGCTAATGTTAGCATTAATAACCATTAAACCTGCTTATTGCACAGCTTTGTTGAATACATCATTCTTATTTGTCAATAGTGTAATTCTACAGTCTGTTAAATCAATATTTTGTGTCAAATTGATTGATTTAATTAGTCAAAATCTGTGGACTAAGAGGGGTAAAACCGTGACAGGGTGATGAATGTTCTGGAGATGAAGCATTAGCATGTTAGCATTTAGCTAACTCACACAGTCAAGAGCATGGCAGTACAATCTTGTTTAAACATAAACCTTTAATAATTCAGATTCGAGTGCAGGGAGAATAAGCTGTAAGCATTAATCAAACCAGGCTCTACTGACACCAGAAAGAAAGAAACATCTCAGAGATACACAGCTCATTTCCTGTGCTTCACAGACAGTCAGACATCTGTCTATATGACTGATTATTCACAGCTTTATATAGAAACTTTGAGATGACAAGGGTAGCAAAATGTGTTCTACACACATTAGTGAATGTTTAGAGAAATGCACCATACTCACTGTTGCATGACTTGTGAAATACATGAAAAACATAATTTTATTTAAGAAATTGATTTTCTTTTTATGTTCGAGTATACAAGCCTAAAGCACAATATCTGAAGAGGCAGAGATTCTGCTGCTTTCAAGGCATACCTGGAAACATGCAGGAGTTAGATGTTGCTCAGATAAAGAAGACAGAATTCCTCCGAGCTGTTTGCATGCTACCAAGCTGATGAAGCCTGAACACTTCACATAAACAGGGTTCATGTGAGACAGTGCTCGAGTCTATGTGTACGAGCAGTGGGACTGTTTGCATACAGCTTTCGAAAATGCAAGCAAACCAAGAGATTAATGCACAGGGATGGGGCGTAATTACCATGACACATCAGGGGGGGGGGGGCAGGGAGGACCCATACAAATGAATGGGATTACAGTACCACCATTTATTGATGGTATTCTGTAAATAGATAAATGTTTTTTTATTTACCACTGCAATCAATCCGCTACCACACAGTATTTTACAATGTTACACTTATTTTATAAATACTGCCTACTTACTTATTTTCCCTGATTGTGTACTTCTGTAATTTTTATTTGAAATACTATGTGCATGCATTTTTATAGAACAGTGTGTTATTTTAATTTTTCGACTGCTGTGACAATGTAAATTTCCCCTCTTTGGGACGAATAAAGGAATTCTGATTCTTATTCTGAGAGCAGAATCAGACTACGATGAGTCATACCTGTGTGTGAGGTAAACACAGTCGGTGGAACAAGTCTTGTTCACTGGTGCAAATAATCCCTGACATTATCTCACCTGTAAACGTCGCCGTGGTGACAACAGTTCAAAACACTCTGCCCTCACGTTGTATTCACCCATCCTGGATCAGTGAACTCATCCCCATTGCTGGAACGCTCCCGGCTCCGTCTCAGCGGCTCAGTGACCAGCAGCGCTCCGACAGTTTCGGTTTTTATGACCTTGAGATTCTCTTTTTGTTTCTTTAAAAGCGGGAGCACGAAGGCTGTCTTACTGGAAGAGAAGTGCAAACACAACAGGTAAAGAGGATATCATGGCGATTAAATGAAACGCACCGACCGTTACCCTAAGGATGGCACAATATACACTTGTATTACAGATCACGTTGAAAACCCAGCTGATATTGGGGAATTTCCAATATTGCGATAAACGTGAGTATGCCTAGCTGTTCAGTTACCTATCATGGTAATGAAAGGGAACACAAAAAACAAATGTAAAAATATGTATACATTTTTTTCTATCCTCTTTTTATGCAGAGGGAACTTATTTTACTTCTTTTTTTTTTTTACTGAAAAGGATAATTATTTAAACATACATTCTGTCATGGAGTTATTACATTATTGTTATTGGACCCAAAGGTAAAGTTAAGATATCAAGAGTTTTCAGCTTATGTTGATGATTATCAGTATACTTGTATAATATAAGAATGATGTTATTGTCTCACGCCTGTGTTGCCTAGAATAAAATGACAGAATTCTCTAGATTTGAACATTTTGGAAAACATTTGGAATAATGTAAGTACACAACTCAAGAGAATATATGACATAGGTCGAGTTGTTTTTAGACATTTTAATGCAGAAATGTCACATATTATACCATGGGGCCGCAGGTGGTGCTGTTTCAAGGACTGTCACACAAGTGGTATTATTACATTATATAAGTTTATTAGGGGTTAAAAAAATAAGCTTGAATAACATAGTGAGAAAGAGGCCGAGTACCTGATAATATTTGGATGCACTTTTTTTTCATCTAGCTATAATAGAGTGGTGCAGGAATGTATAAGGTAGGTTTGCAGTTAACACAAGCTAAACATATTTTAACAGTTTAATGCACACCATAAAACATGTCAGTAAATACCCCACTAGTTAATGTCTGAAACTTCTAAAAACAGTGGTAGCCAACAGTGGCTAAATTAGACTACTTATCGTCATCATACCGAACATTAGCCTCCTTTAGCTTAGCGGTGGTGACGTGAAGTCATGTGACCGTGATGTAGTTTGGTTTACATTCTTTTACTTCTGGCGATTGCATTTTACGCTTCACAAATGAGGAGATCATCCTGCTGAACAAAACGTGTAAGGATCATAAACGTTTGTTTGACAAAGATTTAATTTCTTGCAATATCCTGAAATCCAATAGAGAAATCCCATTGGTTTTTGAGGAGGCAGCCCTAGGGACGTTTGCCGGTCAGCCTACAAAAATACGTCATCCCTGCACCACTCTGCAGGGTCACATTTAATGATGTCAAACAGTGTGACCTTAATGCATAATCTCCCTACTCACTTGCAGAAAGTCTGATAACATCCCTTCAGCAACCCCCCCCCCCCCTGCAGTCACACATTACAAAGGTCATAGAACATGTTGTAACACACATGTTGGTATAGCAGTCTGCATTCATCTATTAAGGATTATCACCACACTGAGAAAACTGAAACGTGGATAAGTTGATAGCAATAATATGAATTTGAAACTATTGAAACTTAACATAATTGCTTTCAACTAACCGAATACAGTTATGTGAAATCTGTTGACCTGATACATTCAATTAAAGTCACCGTGACAGTTTTTTCAGTGAATTACAGTATCTGACGTCCTCAGCGGCGGACAGTATGGAAAGATTCTCCATCACCTTATTAATGTGACTGACCTGACCAAACAGGAAGTCAAAGCACATGAGCAGGAAGTCATTATAGCACATACACTCTGAGCAGATGATTCCACCACCAATTCATTACTTTAAAACAAAAATCCCCTATAACCCTGTTGACATACTATGTTACAGTATTAATTAAATAATGTGAGCAAGCGGAAGCCCAGGGGGCAGGACAGTCGTATGGAACATGTGGTGTGTGTGTGTGTGTGTGTGTGTGTGTGTGTGTGTGTGTGTGTGTGTGTGTGTGTGTTGAACTCATCACAAACACAAAAAAGCTTCCTGTTTAAAAACAATGCATGACACTCCGGAGAGCAAAATTCACATTGATTAAAAGACAGCCTGGAGGTGTTGTGGAGAGCGGAATGAAAGTCCCCCCCAACCCTCTGTGGTGGAGCGGGGGGGGGGGGGTAGAGAGTCAGACTCAGCCCCCACCGCAGCTCTGCTTCCAATTTCAGCCCGCCATAGTTCTGTTAGGGTGGGACCGGGGGGGTCAGAAGTGAGCACTCACAGCTCGTAGTCGAACTTGAACTCATTGGCCAGGTAGATCCTGCGGAAGATGAGAGCGGCCAGGGCCAGGGTGAGCAGCACGATGAGGACCACCGAGCCCGCGCTGCTCTCCTCGAGGGGGAGCCGGGGGGCGGGGGTGAAGGGCGGCCTGCTGGCGGCCTCCCTGCCCTCCCTCTGGTTCCTCTGGCTGTGCTGCTGGGCGCGGCGCTGCCGGGGGCTCAGAGGGCGCCCGGTGCTGGGGGCCGCGGGGGGGCTGAGTCCCTCTGTCTCTGTGGCTGGAGACGCCTCTGCCTGTGGAGGACATTCAGACAAAAGCAGCCATTAGAGGATAAACAATTCCCCAATGGATCCATTCCCTGCTTGTTCGCTCCAGTTGTGCGGAGCTCAGTCACAGAACCTTTAACCTTCCCATTGTCTTCGGGTCAAATGTGTCCCTTCCCCAAATGTTTTTATGTCGAGATAAAGGTTTATTTTTTGTTAGTGCCAGAAAGAACATGTTTGATCGTTTTCCACGTGAAATTAATTATGATCACTTTCATTAAGTTTTGGGTTTTATTCAAATGTATATATGTATGTATGTGGTCTTCTGGGGTACATTTTGTAAAGTCATTCAACATTGACCATACAATCCAACAAGAGGAGGAACATTCGTGGTAACAAGTAGGAATACAGTTGCCTTAAAAGGTGTCAAATGGATTTGGGTGATTATTTATACTAAATGCTTTATGAATAGTCAAACCGGAAGGACAACAATTGATAGCAAGACAACACAAGGGTTAATGTTCTAAAGTAAAAAAAGAGCTCAGATCTTGTACTTAAAGGTGGGGTAGGTCATTTTGGAGAAACCAGCTTGAGTGCGCTAGAATTTGAAAATACACAGCCGGAAAAAATCTGCCACTTCCTTACAGAGCCCCTCCTCCAACACACACGAATGCGCACATGACCAATGAGGGCACGAGATAAGTTTGTGCACAGATGGAAGGCTGACAGGCAGGTAGGCCATCCAGTTACTTTAGCCGGCTCAGATGATTGGTCGTGCTTTTTACAGAACTACGGCTTCCACAGATGAGATATTATGTATTTTTTGTCAAAGCACTTCAGATATTCATTGCTATCGGGATGTTAAGAGCATTCCATGGAATATAACAAGTGTATCTGAAGTGAATTACACCACTGAGTACAAACATTGTAGAAGTGGAGCATCTGCTCTTCAGCACATGTAAACAATAGTTCAGTGTTTTGCTGAAATCTTTTATATTCTGCACTCATAGCTCTTTTATTTCTGATCCTATGAGGCTGTAATTTGTATAATAAGACAGCTGTGCTGCCCTTCCTCTGCTTTTATTTGCAGCTTATTTACTGAGACATTAAGCCAATATAATCTATAAATACATATTTCTATGTCTCCTTGCCAGCGGAGGGTGTGGGGCAGGGTGTAACCTTTTGTCGCCTGTGATGACTCTTCTTGAATGTCTATCACACAGTGTTTAATAACCTGTAGTCAGACAATGTTGTCCTCATCAAATAATCAAGTGATTATTAACAGCTAGGAAATGGCAGTTATTTCCTAGCTGTTGATAATCACTTGATTATTTTATGATTAAAAGTTAGTATTCATCATTAATTCATAATCATTCCATTGTTTGACAGCAGTAAAAAAAGTTGTGTAAATGAGAATATTGAAACTTCAATTATGGCTTTATAAAAACATGGCGAAAAAGTATGTATTCATAGAAGTAATTAGTAATGTATAAGCTTCCTGGATCAGCACATTAACACCTTTTGGCATTTTCAGCAGAAATACTTTGAATTACTTAAAGTGGACCTATCATGCTATATTTGAAACATATATTGTAGGGCCATACCTATATAAAACATGTCTGTGAAGTTTTTATTTCAAAATACCAAACAGATCATGCATTTTAGCCATGCCTCATTTCGCTCTATTTGCTCTTTTCCAGCCCTGTTTTTGCAAGGGCTGATTCTGCTTCTGTGGCAGACTACAGCGCCACTTACAGGCCTGGCATATGTACTACAGCATCTCCAGCGCTTTCGAGCGGTCTCTCATTCCCCTGATAGGTGGAGAGTTGCCCATATAGGCGGAGCACCCCTTTTCTGACGTCAGAACAATTCAAATCTGTATCAGATCCGTTGCAGCCCCGTTTTTATAGATTTGGCTAAGGAGGAAAAGAGAGAGGGTTGTGTTTTCTGACACTTGGTGAGTTCCCTGACACACCGGGGACACATATTCATGTATAAAAGATGTACAAAAGTGCATTTTGCATGATAGGTCCCCTTTAAAGGAACAGTCATGACGCTGCTGTTGATACGGAGTGACCGGTGCAGATGGAACCTGACAGACTCACAGAAACAAACATCTCACCCAATTAGAGAGTGACTGGAGGGAGCATGCAGAAGCAGTTCAAAGTGATCCTACATCTCTCTGTACTCAGGGAACAGCAGCAAGGCAGTGTGGGAAACCGAGGGCCACACAAGTTGTATCTCTCTGACTCCAGCGGCAGATGGTGAGTGCTATTTTTGACGTGGCCCTCCTCAAACTCAAATACTAATCTAAGTTGACCCTCCTCTGCTCCTTCAGACCGGGTCTGGGTGGCAGCTGGCGCCAAAATCTATCCTCTTAGGCAACAAAGCTTGTCCACATCATCTGAAGTAGTGAAAAGAAGCCACGGCAGCACAGGCTTCAAGAGTGCTGATATCTAGCTGCTTTAACTACAGTAACTCGGCAACAAATACAGCTGGCATGGCGCTGCTGCTTACTCAGCATGCAGAATCATTTCCTTCCGTACATATTCAAAATGATTTTGGAGCTCAGTGCGATGTCAGCAGGGGGATGAAGCATGCCATCAATTAAAAGGGACAATAAGAAAGATGTGTAATTCACAGCAGCATATAAAGCTTCTGATTGTACACGGTGGAGCTTCGGAACACCCGCCGCTCCGTCCAATACTGTGGAGTTTAAATGGATTGAAAAACAAACAGAATGCTGAACGCAGGTCATGATTTTAATTATGCCAGACATCAGGAGAAGGAATTAGTAAAGCCTAAATAATCCTTAGTATCAACTATGCTGCATGTCAGTGACTTAGATTCATAGTTCAGGCGGATATTTTGCATCAACGTTTGGGTGATGTAATATATTGCAAGTGTGCGGTAAGCAAGCGTCAGGTTTTTAGTGTTGTTTCCCAAAGTCAAAAGTCAGTGTGTCTACAGTATGTGTTTAGCTTCACACAGAAAGAGGTCCTTCCCTTTGTGAGCACACTGACCAGAATGCATGGTCCTTGTTAAAGTGCGCCCCCCCTCTCCATCCCCTAGCAGCAGAGAGTGCAGAAGGGTTGCTGACTGAATCGTGTCTGCCTGATTCATTCAGCCTTTATCTGACTGAGGTTAGTGCAAGTTAGAATCTCAGCTGTGAAATCTCAGCAGCCTAACGGCCCGTACACACAGAAGCTTTTGGCGATTTGTCCACCGCTTCCAGCCCATTGACTTTGAATGGGGATGACGTCACTTTCCCTCGCTTGTCGCCGAACTGCATTGTGGGGGGGCGAGGCGAAGATTTCCAGGATTTCCAGGATTTTCAGGATTTCAAAGTTGAACAATGTTCAACTTTTGAGGCTGAGCTGGAAGCGACAGCCAATCAAATCCCGTTTATGCAAATCTGACAGTTCAAGCGCTAGCCAATCAAACCGCGTGCAAGCTGGGAGAACCAGACCCGCAGTTCATTCTATATTCCTAACAAAAGTGGAGGAGAAGTTAGTTATTGCGGTAGCAAATCACCCGGTTCTTTATGACCAGTCCCTATTTACTTACCGGGATACAAACCGGAGGAACCAGGCATGGAGGGAGGTGGCAGAGACAGTGGGTGAAACTAGTAGGTTTTCGCTTGTTTGGGGATTTTATATCCAGTTTACTTCGTTGCTAGTTTACTTCGTTGCTAGCAAGCATAGACAGTATCATTAGCCAGCATGGAATGTAGCATAAAATAGCACCATAGACATTAATCTCATAAATGTTCAAAATGTTAAAAGAAATAGTGGAGAAGAACCGGGTTTTTTTGCTTTGTATGTCGGGGGCGGGAGATTCATGTGATTGGTTGTTGGTCGCGAAATCCCCAAGCTTTCAGACACGCCCAGCTCCAAGATTTTCAAGATTTTTGAAAAGCTGCTGTGTGGACGTACCGTAACTGCTGGGTACTGAGGACTCCATGGTGCTGTCCAAGGTTCTGAAATATCAGACGGAGCAACTCTTTCTCTTCCCTCTGTTCGTATAGCCTTGATTCTAGAATTGTATACGCATAATATAGATACACCCGGAACCAAAGGATATGTTAATGGACCGCTGCTCTAGTCAACAACGTATTGCTGACTGGGTAGAGGACAACAACGTCCCCATAAGTAGCACCTAACATTCACTTAATACTGAGGGAGCTAGTTAGAAGTCGTTATGGGCCATTCAAACCCCGCATTTTATGTTGCATGGAGACATAGGATTTTTTTATTTTGGATGAATTAGTATTGTGCAATAAAATATTCCATCATACCAGTGACGAAGGTAACTTTGTCACTGTGGACTGACGGCTTCGGGCCTTGGAATATATGTGGTTTAGTTTGAAAGTGTTCCCCCTCCCGTTTTGTCTGTGGCTGGTGATTGTGTTCACCTGGTGCCCTGTGTTGTCTCCCCCCCCCACCTGTGTCTTATTGGCCTGATTAGTGTGTGTGTATTTAGGCTCTGTTTTCCCTGTCAGTGGACAGGTAGTGTGTGTGAGATCCTTGTGGCTGCTGACTGTGTTCAGGTGGACAGCAATATTGAGGCTGTGAAACATGTGCCCATGATTTGAATAAATGCCCACACCGGGTTGTATTTGGACGTTCTGCCTCTGCCTCCTTGCTTGGTTGGGCCGCTCAACGGTCAGCTTCACAGTACCATTCTCATGCAATACAATAGCCACGTTCACACCGCAGTACTTTTCCCACTTTAGTGCCGAAATGTCGCGTTCACACCAAAAAGAGCCGGAACTAAAATTAGTTCATCAGAACCTTTTTTACCTCCTAGAGAGCAGGGACTTTCGTGGGAGAAAAAGGTTCCCATTTCTGATGGGGCCTTTGCGGCCTGCCAGTAAACCCAAAGCAGAAGAAGAAGAAGTGATGTCAGCGGCTTCATTTGCCTAATCCTTCCCCAGGAACTTATTCCGGTGTGAACGCAATCTGTACTTAATTCATGAGAACTAAAGAGTTCTCATGAACTAAGTACAGATGAACCTTTGTGGGAAAAAT